TTTACTACCAGCTACAAATCATGTACATAAAATTGGGAGGAGGGCTATATTCCTCCCAGACCCACTCCTGATGCGAATTTTGTTAACAAAATAGTTTTTGTCTTTCATTGCAATTGTGTATCTTGTTCATGTTCCCTGTGAGCTTCAGCATAGTCAAAGTTCTATTGCTAAAGACTCAGTCACTGTCTCCAGTACTAAATCAAAGCTTTGAGGGCAAAGGAAAGAGTATAGTTGGCAGATGGGCGAGTAGCTGACTTCTGTCTCAATAACTACTCCCTGCTGGTGGAAGGAGCTTTGTGGTTTTTAAGGAACCAACAAGGCAGGGGAGCTGATCTGGTGAAATTGTGAAGGAGCCACTAATCTGCTGTGTAGAGCCAGGCATCACAGCTCATACAGGCCTTCGATTTCTTTGTGGTGGTCCTTGAGCTTATCAGGTGGTGAGATTCAGATTCACATAAATATATATAAAGAAATATATATTAAGAAGTAGGGAGAATCAAGATGGAAGAATAGGGTATGGACACATTTAAATGAATAGAGAAACATTAGCCAGTGTGAAGCAGAGAGGGCACATTCCAGGAAATAGAGAGGATAGAACAACAGCAGTGGGGTACCTGGAGATGGACAGACACAGAAAAGCAGCAGACACAACGATGTGGGGTTTCAGTGACTGATACCCCAGCAGCATTCAGTGAGTGGAGCCAGAACTCCACCAGCAAGAAAGTGGGGAGGGACATTGATCAGGAGCTCAGGAGGTGAACCCAGACATAGAATTGCTCATCCTGCTGCTCTGTTTGATTTGACCAGGATCAGAGACAGAGCAACAAATCCCAGATGAGAAGTATGGGAACAGGGTGAATTTCAGAGACCAGTCTGCCCCTAAAGCTGAATCGGGTGCTATTTTGTTTAAGGAGGCAAAGGTTATGGGACATTACTGCACGTGCACTGAGCTGGGAGTGAACACATTTCTGGCTCTGTGAGCTGTAACAACATGACATCCTACAGGTTCTACCCAAGATAGATCCAGGTAGCCCTCAGAACTGATGGCCAGCAGATCAAGAACTCTAGTAGTAGCACCGTTTTGTATGATGTGGAAAATCTTATAGGAATGCAGGGACAACAGTGAACTGCACATCTGCTGAGTTCAGCAAGAACTCACTGAGCTCAGTACATTGCACTAGTCCCATAGAAAAATAATACTGACTATGGCATCGTACGGGTCAGTACGATGGTCCATGTGGCCCCCAGATCTAATGGCCAACAGGTTCCTGCAAGATTACAACCAACAGCAACCTGGCTGTATAGGTCTCCTGATGTCTCCATACTCCTGGGATCTTCTCGAACCAGAAGTGGGAGGAAGGTTGTATAGACAACAGTGCAGCCTCAGCATGGTATCACAGGAGGTGGAGAGTAGTGAGCCAGGAGCTGGGGCTATGGAGACCATGGTGGAAATCTAACATAAGAACCCAGACCTGGAAGTTGCTGGAGGGAATGGCACAACTGACTGCAAACCAAGAACCCTGTACCAACTGCAATAAGTAAAATCAAACTATAGATTTGTGGGTGACACAGCTTAGAAACCTACCCCAAGGAGAAGAAGCTAATAATCAAAAGTACAATGACCAAGAACAAAAAGAAAAAAAAAAAAGAGAGAGAGACAGAGGCACAATGAATATTACTGAAGACTTCCCTGCAAAGGAGCAAAACCCTTTGCCAACCTCAGAGTTAACTGAGGAAGACATTGAGAAAATGGTGGATACATAATTCAAAACACTTGTTATAAAGCTTTTTATCAACAATGAGAAGCATGTAAAGCAGGCATTCAAGGAATTTAAGGAATATGTCACACAGGAAATGAATCAAATGAAAGCTGATATATCAGAAATGAAGAAGACAGTGGAGCAAATTAAAGGTACAGTGGAGAGTCTATAAAATAGAATGAAGGAGGCAGAAGAAAGAATTTCAAAATTAGAAGATATTTCCTGTCACTGGGGGAAACAAAAAGGTGGAAGCAGAGCTGGATCAGGCCAAAGAAACTATTCAAGAATTGAAAGACACTATTAAGAGGCCTAACACAAGAGTTATGGGAGTCCCAGAAGGTGCAGAAAGAGAAACTGGTTTTACAAATATAGTTAATGAAATAATAAGGGAAAAGTTCCCTAATCTGGAGAAAGAATTGGGAAACAAGATCCAGGAGGGGCACAGAACTCCCAACAGGCTTGACCAAAAGCGATCTTCACCACGACACATGATCATCAAGCTCTCTTCAATTGAACATAAGGAAAAGATCCTTAAATGTGCATGTGAAAAAAAATCAACTGGCATATTAAGTAATGGCAATTAAACTCCCAGGAGACCTCTCATAGGAAACTCTACAGGCAAGAAGAAAATAGAGCGATATATTCTAGATTCTAAAAGAAAAAAATTTGTTGGCCCAGCAAAGCTTTTCTTTGTCTTTGAAAATGAAATAAAATTCTTCCACAGTCAAGAAAAGTTAAAAGAATTTGCCTCTTCCAAACCTGCCCTCCAAATGATACTTCAAGATGTTCTCTTGACAGAGAAGAGGAATAGCACCCAACAAAACCAAAGGCAAAGGGAAGAACATCCCAGTAAAATAACAGAAGACTAAATCAATGAACAACCCATTCCTAAAATGACAGGACCAAAGTACCACCCATACATATTAACCCTGAATGTAAATGGCTTAAACTCATCAATCAAAGATGATAGATTTGTAGACTTGATTAAAAAACATGTATTTGTTGTCTAGAAGAGACACATTTCACCAACAAAGATCAGCAGAAACTATATAATAATAGTTGGCCATTTTTCCCACTCTCTGAATGGTTAAATAAATGGAAAATCCTGGTGTGCACTTTGATAAACAGACAGAACGCTCTTCCGTATTATCACTACATGGGCTGCAGTGCCAGGATGACCTTTATTCAGCCTCAGGGCATACATTTCAAACCAAAGCTCAAACAAAATCTCAGATAGGTACATGAAACCTACTTGTAGGTAAATAGAAATCTAATAACCGTTCTTTGCATTGCTCTATATACTCACGTGGATATGGCGCATAGCAGTTTAGAAAGCAGGTTGCTGTGCTTTTCTATGCCAAGAGCCCCTCTTCGGGGGGAATATTTGCAGGACCTCCCTCTTGGCTGAGAAAGGTTCTAAAATTGTTAGCCTCACTGACTTGACATTCAGGTTCTCCCATGAATTCAGCAAATGTGTAGTGGGAACATACCATGTGCTAGCAGAGTGACTGTAACAAAGAAGAATTTATGCTCAGATATTTCCTCAATGCCAAGAATGACAGGAAACAGTGGAGTCCAAGGTAGCACTGCCTACTTTAGAGTGCCTCTAGTGCCACTGCTGTTGGCTAGGCAAACAGTGGCTTTAGGATTTCCTATGTATGTCTTTCTAAAGCATTTTTTAAAAAGTGTGTGTGTGTGTGTGTGTGTGTGTGTGTGTGTGTGTGTGTGTGTGTGTGTGTGTGTGTGAGAGTGAGGCAGGAGTCTTCTCATATTTTCCCATTCTCAGAGTGTCAGAGGACTCTCCAATTCATTAGGAAGCTTCAAATACACCAACCTGAGGGCGTGTTGGAGCAATTGCCTAGTCGTTGGAGGGGCTTGGCATCTGTCACAGCTTAAAGGCTTTCCTTTGGTGGGATGTCCCAGTCTCTTCTTCCATCACTAGTCTGAGTTTTTATCTACCTGTTTGAGGGGTTCCAATGAAAATCACATCTCCCGCTTGCCCCTTCCTCCAAGGCAGACCCTGTGCCCATGTCTCCCAGAGGGCCTATGCAATGCTCTCACTTCACACATCTTTACCTGCAAACCTGTTCCCGGGTGTCCTGCAGCTTGGTCCCAAGTGGGGATTCCCAGCCCATGGCGTTCCCCACTCTCTATGGCTCTGCCAGTAGATGTCTCCATTACTCCCTCTGAGGTTACCCGGGCCCCAGCCAGATTCTTATTTCTTTTAACCGACCGTGAAGAAGATTTGATAATTTGCCTAAAACGAGCGGATGCACAGAGGACGCATCCGCCCTCCTTTTGGATTTTCATCTCTGGCTGCCCTCTGCCTCTTTTCCAAAAGGCACATCAGGTTTAGCACGAACGCCCTCTTCCGCAGGCGTCCAGGTTGCCTGGAAGGGGTGGGGTGGGGTGGGTTCATCCTGGACCTCCTGGCCACGAGCCCGGGCCAGTCGGGCGGTTTGGAGGACGCAGGTGGGGGTGCGGACCCCGCGCCGCCTGCTCGTGCTCTCCGCGCCCGCTCGCAGCCCCGGGTTCAGCACCGGACAGCGCCCGCCCCGCCCGCCCCCGGCCGCCGGCTGAGTGACAGGGGAGCCGACCAAACAGGGAGCGCGACGGGCCCGCGGCCGCCCCACCAGGGCTTGGCTGCGGCCGAGCTGCCGCCGCTCAGCGCTTTCCTCTCAAGCGCCGCGAGGGGCAGGAGCGCTGCAGCTGCCAAAGCCCGAAGCCGCCGGCTCGCAGCCGCCTGGCGCTCCCGCCGGCAGCGGCAGCGATACCAGAGTCCCCGGGGCGCACGTCCGGCCCTCGGTCGGCTCGCGCCCTCGGCACTCCGGGAGGCGGGGAGGCGATGGAGCGGCGCTCGGGGCGGCCACGCGGGCAGCGGCGGCGGCGGCAGGTGCAGCAACAGCAGCGGCGGCGGCGGCGGCAGCAGCAGCAGCAGCTCCCGGGCGCGCCGCACTGAGCACGGCCGGGCGAGGGCGAGGGCGCGGGGCGGGCCCGGCGGCGCACGGAATGTGAGCGCCTGGCCGGCGGCGCGAGGTGCGTAGTCCCGAGCCGACCCGGCCACAGGTGCGTGGTTGCCGGAGAGGGCGGCGGAGCCAGCGCGTCCCGATTTCCAAGTACCCTCAGGAGCCGGTTCCATCTGGGGGAGGCGTCCTGGTGGAAGTCTGGCTGTGGCTCCTTGGGCGACCCCGATTCACAAAGTGACGCTTTCCGCGACCCGTTCTGCGCCTCGCCAGACGGATGGGAGCCATGGCCCGTCGCTTCCTCCTCTGCCTCCTGTTTGCCCACCTGGGATGGGACGCAGCCCGCGCTAGCCGCGAAGCTTTGGGGCGGTCGGAGCCACCGCGAGAGCGCACCCCGAGGATCCAGCGGCAGCCCGCGCAACGGCCGGCTCGTTCTCCCGCCGCCTCGGAGCCCTCAGCCCCTTGGAGCCGCCCAGCGGCCGGCGCCGCGCTGGCGCAGAGACTCGCCGAGGAGCTGCCCGTGGACGTGGCCTCCTACCTGTACACCGGGGACTCCCGCCAGCTGCTGCAAGCCAACTGCTCCGGCCGTTACGAGCTGGCCGGCCTGCCCGGCAAGGCACCGGCCCTGGCCAGCCCGCCTCCCTCTTTACATGGGGCGCTGGACACACTGACCCACGCCACCAACTTCCTCAGCACCATGTTGCAGAGCAATCGCTCGCGGGAGCAGCACTTGCAGGACGACCTGGAGTGGTATCAGGCACTGGTGCGGAGTCTCGTGGAAGGCGAGCCCAGCATCTCTCGCGCGGCCCTGACCGTCAGCACCGAAGCACTGTCCGCTCCCGCCCCGCAGCTCTTCCTGCAGGCCACGCGCGAGGAGAGTCGTATCCTGCTCCAGGACCTGTCCTCCTCCGCGCACCATCTGGCCAATGCCACCCTGGAGACCGAGTGGTTCCATGGCCTCCGGCGCAAGTGGAGGCCCCACTTCCACCGCCGCAGCGCCCACTCGGGCCCCCGGGGCCTGGGCCACAGCTGGCGACGCAGGGATGGGCCCGGCGGGGACAAGAGCCATGTCAAGTGGTCCCCGCCTTACCTGGAGTGTGAAAACGGGAGTTACAAGCCGGGCTGGCTGGTGACTCTTTCAGCTGCCTTCTATGGGTTGCAGCCTAATCTGGTCCCGGAATTTAGGTAGGCAAAGGAGGGCTTCGGGCGGGGAGAGGGTCAGTATGCGCGCCGCCTGGGGGAAGGGACGCTTTGCTGGAAAAACTGCAGCCTGGCACCGTCTGGGCAAAGATTTGGGCTGGGGGACGCTCACAGGGACTCATGAGTTAAGGGCGAGAAGTGCCCACAGTAGGGTGCCAGGTTCAGGCACTCACAGAACGCCCTTTCCCTGAGATCCCTGGGTCCCTGCCAGGGGAGAAGTGCCCAGTTAGCCAGACAGGAGTTCTCCGCGGAGGTGGCTGAGCTAGGGGCACCGGGGGAGGGGAGGAGCGAGTTTTTCTCCTTGATGCTTCCACTTTGGGGTAGATTCCCGCCTGCCTCTTCCGTGAATAGCACTCCAGGCATCATAACCAGAGTGTCAGGTGTCGCTGTCCCTTGGGCAGGCGATTCTGTCCCCCTTCAGCAGTGAGTCCATCTCAGCCCACATTGTAGTGGGCGGGAACCACAAATCCCAATGTGGTCTGTCGGCGCCTACGTTCCTTCCACTCAACCAGTCTCCTCTCCTCCAAGATCGGTCTTCCCTTTTTCTTTTGGGTCTCCCGGGCTGAGTCCCCAGGGGCATTCTCGGGCCCTTTGATGCACCCAGCATACTTCGTAAATGAACCCGGCTGGCTGGGTCATCTTAGGGATCAGAAGGCATCATCTCTAAAGGGGATACATTCAATGAACTTGGAAGCAGCTTGCTGGGGATTTTTGCAGTTTGCTTTTTCCAAGCTTAGCATGTGAGGAGAGAAGGGGAGAGGAGCTTGCTCATTTGCAGCATGTGGCTTCTGCCCCAGGAAATGCCTGATGTTTCTTAGGATGAGGAGCTGCTAGAAGCTGGTTGTAACCTCAGAGCAGAGTGGAGAGGAATGAGGAGAAAACGCCAGTGGGGTGGGAGAGGACTGGTGATTGGCAGGGGACTTCCCTGATGCCATTGATGGGAGGTTCTGAGGGGAGATTGCCAAGGCTTCTTTGTGGACCACCCTTATTTACTGTTTAGCCCCTCTGGGTCTTGCGCACTGGATCTGTCTGGAAAGGGAGTTGAACTTAAACTCCCTAATCTGTCAAACATTCTATAGCTTTCCATGCAAGCAACACTGAAGATGCATCCGTGAAACACAGCCCCATTTCTTTGAATCAGTGTGGCCTATGAAGAGTGTGTGTGTGTGTGTGTGTGCGTCTTTCAGAGATTCAGCGTTAAGCCTAGTGAACTCTCTCCTGCTTTCCAGATAATCTCATTTCCTCCTGATTCCTACAGGATCCTATTAGTAAAAGCTGAGCCCAGCTTTGAATCCTTGTTATGCAGTTGGCTGAGGAGAGCCAAGAGCAGCAGGTGTCATTCCCCACCAGCAAACTGTGTGAGGCATTCTCGGTGACCTTCTCAGGGCATGTCAGATCCTGGACTCCCTGGGCACCTGAGGCTGTGTCAGCTCGCAGCATTTGCCAGTGTTCAGAAAGCTGTGTGTTTTCAAGTGCTTCTATTGTCCTGGATGGTCCACTTCAGCCAAGGCACAGAGCCAGACCGTTTAGCATCCAGCTCTCTACAGAAGCTGCCTCTGGTCTTGGCAGCATCACAGAAATCCAGAGTAAGTGCTCTCCTGTGGGCGGGTGTCCTGCCCTGGACTCAGGGCCTTCAGCAGGCTGTGCTGCGTGGAGGGCTTGCACATATATTCCTGAGAGGAATGGGAAGAAATTTTAAAGGGATCACAGAGTTCCCACCAGTTGTTTTCTAGATAAAGAAGCATATCTATGAAGGGAAAAGTGCCTTTGGCCAGAAATCCTATTTCAAGTTTGTGGCAACCACCTCTGGCTTACTCTCTGTGGCGTGTGTATAAGACTAAAGCTTAGCTTTGGTGTTTCTTGGGACTTCCACAAACAACCCTTCTGGGGTACACATTTTATTCTCTGTATCCTCTAGGAAACACTATTGCAAAATAGCATATAGAGCACAACCAGTGAGCTTTTTAAACAATGTATTTTTATAAAAAAATATCATTTACATATGAGGTCATGTTTGAATAAGTCTCTCCTGTCTCTTCATGCTCAAACAGGAAAAAAATCTTATGTATTGGAAAGGCAGCTATAGAGAGAGACAAGAGGGCTTCCATCTATTGGTTCACACCCCAATGGCTGCAATTACTGTGGCTGGCTCAATGCAAAGGCAAGACCCTGGAACTCTGTCCATGTCTCTCACGCAAGTAGCAGGAACCCAAGCACTTGGACCGTCTTTTGTTGCCCTCCCAAATACATGACTGAGAAACTGGATAGAAAGTGGACCAGCTGGGATTCATACATTGGATGTAGGTATGCCAAGCAGTGCTTGCACCTGCAGAACCACAGTGCTGGCCCCAAGACTGTTTCATTGTTGTTGTTGATGATGATCATGTTTTATCATCTAAAGTGTATAAGGGACATGGAAAAAATGTGCAGTATGGGGAAACAATGAACAGATTTCAAAACTTTTTTTTTTTTTGCACCAAAATGAACTCATCTTCCAATTCCTTTTTTCCCCATTAACTTTTTGAAGTGCTGTTGATTCTAAAATTCTGCCATGCAGGTGAATCATATTAAATATGCATGGGTCTAGGGCATTCTTCAAGTACATCTTGAAGGGCCATGATTAGGAGTCCCCATCATGATTTTAGGTAGAACTTTGAACACTTAGAACATTATTTGCAGGAGCCAGCTTTGCTGTGCTTATACCACGACTTGTGATACTAACATGCCATATCTGTGTGCTAGTGTGGGTTCTGGCTGCTCTGTTTCTGATATTACTCCCTACAATGCAAAAAAGGGCCCAAGTTCTTGGGCTCCTGCCACCCACATGGAAATCTTGGCCTGTGCTCCTGGCTCTCAGCTTCTATCTGGTTCAGTCCTGATTCCCATGGCCATTTGAGGATGTGAACTGGTGGCTTCAAGGTCTCTCTCCTTTCCTGTCACCCTGCCTTTCAAATAAACAAATCTCTAGCAAATATTTTTCACATAATGTTTTATCTGTGATGTCAAGTGCATTGGAGATGATTTATGTGTATAAAAGAGGAAAAAGCTTTATGATTAAAATTTTCACACATGACTAACATTTGCCTAGTTCTTGTCCAACATGTAATTCCAAAACATTAGTTAACTAACCTTTTTTTTAAAAAAAGAGCTCGATTTGATTTATTTGAATATCAGAGTTATAGAGAAACAGATGGAAAGTCGGAGGGGGGGCGAGAGGGAGAAAAATCTAGAGATCTTCCACCCATTGGTTCACTTCCCAAAAGCTGCAGTGGCACGGGCTGGGCCAGAATAAAATCTAGAAGCCAGGCACTTCATCTGGTCTCCCATGTGGGTGCAGCAGTCTAAGTAGTTGGGCCTTCTTCAACTGCTTTACCCAGGCACATTAGCAGGGACCTGGATAGGAAGTGGAGTAGCCAGGACTTCCAGCTGCTGCCCATAGGGGATGATGGTGTTATGAGCAGTGGCTCTAATCCACTCTGCCACTCCCCAGCTCCTTCTGCCTACTTCTTAAGTGTACCTGCAGGATAAACATTGTTGGTCTCATTTTCTACCGTAGCAAAAATGAGAGTGTAACACTCTTGAACTTGATACCAAAAGAGTTAGTAAATTAGGGAGCTAGTATACTAAGGAGCCAAAATCAAATTTAGATCACACTATGAAACCAATTTGGCCTTTTCACTATCCAAAGCCGGTTTCTGTCTCCTGATTTCTGGATTATGTTTTCACTTATTTCTTAAGAAGTATAAGATGGCATTGGCTTGATTTAATTAATATACTCAGCTCAAACAAGTACTTACTCTTTTTGTTGGGGTCGGTGGTGGAAGGGGGTGACCCATCACATAATGAAGTATGTTGCGTAGACTTGAGTCAGATCTTGGCCATAAGTCCCCAGCCACATTACCTGCCTAGATATCATTTCTGCATAATGGAAACATGGAAATGGACATGAAGGTCACCACCTGTATCTTTTTTTCATCTTTCATTTCTATGAATTCTTTTTTAAAAGATTAATTTATTTTTATTGCAAGGTTATATATATGTATATATATATATATATAGAGAGAGAGAGAGAGAGAGAGAGAAAGAGGAGGCGAGACAGAGAGAAACATCCTCCATCCGATGATTCACTCCCCAAGTGATCACAATGGCCGGTGCTATGCTGATCCAAAGCCAGGAGCCCAGATCCTCTTCTGGGTCTCCCACATGGGTGCAGGGTCCTAAGGCTTTGGGCCATCTTCAACTGCCCTCCCAGGCCACAAGCAGGGAGCTGGATGGGAAATGGAGCTGCTGGGACCAGAACAAGGACCTTAGCCGCTAGGCCATGCTGCTGGGCCCATTTCTATGAATTCTTAAGTGATATTCATACATGTGGTACCTCATGGGGGATGTACTCATGTGGGATAAATATTGAGGAAGAAGAAACTCAGCAAATGTCTGGCCTAATGGTGGGATAATAATATCCCACCATTTTCATATATGCGTATGAAAAAATATATATTGACATATGTAAAGAAAAATAGGGCAATGAAAGAGATACAGAGAGAAAGATCTTCTGTCTGCTGGTTCACTCTCAAGTAGCCACAATAGCTGGAGCTGAGAAAATCCAAAGCCAGGAATCATGAGCTTCTTCTGGGTCTCCCACATGGGTACAGGGGGCCAATTCTTTGGGCCATCCTCCACTGCTTTCCCAGGCCACAACAAGGGAGCTGGAAAGGAAGTGGAGCAACTGGGACATGAACTGGCACCCATATGGAATCTCAGCTCTTGCAATGTGAAGACTTTAGGCACTTGCAATGTGAGGACCTTAGGCACTAGGCTACCACACTGGGTCCACAAAACCCATTTATAAGGGCTGATGAGCATCAGTGTCATTCATGTGTTGACTGGGTGGTCACTCTACCCTGTTTTACACACACACACACACCCTCAATCAGTGGTTCTGTCACAGTCTTCTGCTTTCAACAGAGAGAGTGGGGCAGCTGCCC